TCTGGCCTTCAGCTCATCCCCAACGTAAGATCCACTTTTTATTTCCTCTTCAATTTCAGCATATGTCACCTTATGCTTCAAACCATATTTGGAGGCAAGTGCTTTCCAGTCCTTACTCTTACAGACTTCTACAACACTTTTGCCTTCATTTTCTACCCCCAATACGGCTGCAGCACATGGGATCCCGAGAGGAAATGAAAAATCACCATATTTAGCAATACATTGCCTGACATCAAATTGCGCCATCAAGGATCGACAAAATTCCCTCCGAATAGGTCGATCCCTTACTCCTACCAACGATCCAAAACCTATTTCTCCCAGCACATTCAACTGACCCTTCTCCTTAAGGTGTTTAATTAATAAATTCACCCTTTTAATGCTGCATCTTGTTGACACTTCCTACATTTTTTAACAATATATAATGTTATAGTTCTTATATATTTTGTATCAACGTATTTACAAGTTTAATGAATACCTTATTTTCATGTGCTTTCCTCCGTTCTTTGTATTCTTTACCATCATTCCTTGACTGTGTGATGTAAGGTTCCTTTTCAGCATCACTCATTGAATTCCATTTGGACCTCACATCTTTTGTCACCTAATATAAAACATAAACGTTTCTTAATCAATACATTAACACTAAATACTACTCAATGTCAATTTCATTTTACATACCGAACCGCTCTGTGTGCCATCTTCCTTCATCATTTTGCATTCGGCCATACTGTCAACATTTAAAATTTGTAATCAATTTAAAGTTTATCGATACTTTAATCCAATTACCATTTCAACAATAATAACAAAAAGACATTGATACTTACTAGAAGTACATATATCCACCCTTGGGTTGCTTTCGAGTCTCGGCCTCAATTTCAAAGTCATCTGCTCCACCAACAATTTTCCAACCCATTGACTCCATTTTTCCTTCATATATCAGTTTAAGCAAATTAAATTATTTTGTTACATACACTTTATTCAATATACAAATATATATAACTACTCTTGTGGTAAAACGGTTTTCTTCAAAAGAATTTGAATGGCCACACCAAAATGTGTCGGCACATTTATACAACCTATAATATCATTTTCTACCTATAATATTTAATAAAAGTATCAGCATTTATATTTTTCCTTGAATATCACTTTCTATCTGCAATCGTTCCCAAATGCTTCTTTACTCCAAAACCCCAAATAACACATAAAAACCTTATCGCGATTACTGTAATAATAAAAAATTAGGGTTTCGACAACATACTTTTCGATTCGACTGCAGCAACAAACAAACAAACTTCGCTTTAGAAACGCCTTCTGAAATGCAGCAACAATTACGCTTCGATTTCAAAAACTCGTCCGTTCTATCTATTTTCAGAGGAGATTTAGCTTATATTTTCATCGGATATGTTATTTATATTTAATCGATACAAATACAAAAGTGTCGATACTTTTATTTCAGGTGTCGATACTTTCGAAAGGATAATTACCTATTTCTTTGAAAGTGTCGATAATTTATTACACGTACTTACGAAAGTATCGACACTTTCAATATATCCGGTATCATTTTACCGGTTGTATCATTTTGATACTGGTTTTATCATATTTTTACCTGTTATATCGTTGTGGATCGATATATTTTTTTAAAGTATCGACACATTATAGGCGCTAAAATTGCTTCTCTTTTAAATTCACAAAGTGTCGATCCTTATATAAAGTATCGATACTTTCAATATATCCGGTAACGTTTTACCGGTTTTATCATTTTGTTACCGGTTTTATCATATTTTTACCTGGTATATCGTTTTGGATCGATACATTTTTTAAAAGTATCGACACTTTATAGGATTTAAAACTGCTTCTCTTTTAAATTCACGAAGTGTCGATCCTTATATTAAAGTACCGACACTTTAAATGTATCCGGTAGCGCTTTACCGGTTTTATCATTTCTATACCGGTTTTGTCATAGTTTTACCTGTTATATCGTTTTGAATCGACACGAACCGGTAGCACAATTTTTTAATATTTCTTCATGACTTAGACCTACTTTTATAAGTATGGACACTTTTATAAAAATGATATATACTTTTTTTAAAGTTATGTAATTTATGTTTCAATTTTTTTTAATAGTGTTTCATGTTTTCCACCTACAATATTAATTTAATAATTTCATTTACACAAAAAATTATTTGATTATTTGATATTTTATAAAATATTATTTAGAATTTAAATTTAACAATATTAACCAAATATAATAATAAATATGTTTTCCACAGTGAAATAAGTATGGACACTTTTATAAAAATGATATATACTTTTTTTAAAGTTATGTAATTTATGTTTCAATTTTTTTAATAGTGTTTCATGTTTTCCACCTACAATATTAATTTAATAATTTCATTTACACAAAAAATTATTTGATTGTTTTGATATTTTATAAAATATTATTTAGAATTTAAATTTAACAATATTAACCAAAGATAATAATAAATATATTTTCACAATGAAATAAGTATGGACACTTTTATAAAAATGATAAATACTTTACAATATAACAGGTAAAAATATGACAAAACCAGATTCATTATGACAAAACTGGTAAAATTTACTTAATATGTTAAAAGTATGGACACTTTTATAAAAAGTATAGATACTTACCGATAACCAAAGTTTACCGGTTACCAAATTTTTTAATAGTTTTTCATATTTTCTACCTAAAAAATTATTAGTTGTCAACATAATAGGTACCGCTAAACCGAATTTATTAAATACATTTTAATGTATCCGGTAATGCCATATATTAACCCGCCTTTCCTGAGACAATTCCACCCCCACCCTATTCTTTATTGGGTCAAAGTTGAAGTCCAATAAAAGCAAATGTCGTAACTGTTCAAACCTAGCTGGAATTGTGAGATACCCCGCCTCATAGATTAAAGAGTAAACTACGCTATTGGTCACTATACTTTGGATAATTTTTCTTTTTTCTCACTAAACTTTAAATAGTTACAAATTGATCACTAATATTTTCGTTTTATAACAAAATGATCCTTAAGGAAAGCTGAGTTGGACTGCTAAATGCTTGCATGAGTTTTCGAGTGCCACTATAGATAAATGATACTAAATCGATAAAATTTAGAGAAAAGATATTTGATAGGTAATTATTACTTGACAGGATGGTATTTCGGTAAAAAAACCTTCAATTTCTTCACTTCGACAGCATTTCTCTATTTTATATCCTGGGTTCATTTTCTTCCATAAGATTGGATTTTGGATTCTCATCATTTCCCTTGACAATTTTTACATGGATCCATGATTCGTTCTTTTGATGATTTTTTTAAGACATATGATCGAACATTATTTGAGTACGTGCCCAAATATGCCACAGTTATAATAGACGACAGCCAATCATTTGTTGGCAAAATTAATCATTGAGTTCCCATTATTGTTTTCCTTCGACCTGGAAACCAACATTTCGAATTGCATGTTAAAATTCTAATATTGTCGTCACTTTTATAAATTTAAATATAACCTTTATTATCCTCTAATTCATTAAATGAACAAGTAGATTTTGTTGAATGGTTGAGTTGCTTATCTTCTTGTATTTTTTTTAATTCGTGACTTTTAGACCCACTAAAAACATTCACTTTATTTCTATTAAGAGTTTCTCGACTTTCCTCCCCTCTAAATATATTTAAATCAAATTTTAAATTTATCAAAAAATTATTATTATAATATTATATTGTAGTTAAATGAATAAAATTAATAATATTATTTTCAATAATATAAGAAGTAACATTATATTTTAACAATCATATCTCCAATATAATTTTATATCCTATGAACCAAATCATTTCAACCTAATTCATTGAAATTCTATAGCATTGTTTGATGCTAACAATTTTAATCCATGTCTACTTCTATTAGGTCGGTGATGCTCCAATCAAGGGGTTAGGATGGACATTAGGTGGAATGGTTCAGTCGAGTTAGGATTTTTCTCACCCTAACATTGATCTAAGGAAAAACTCTCTCTACCTATTCTTGATTCATCACATATAGTTGTTATTTGTTACTCACTCTAAATTAGTTTCAAAATTTAAAATATATCATCAATTTAATTCGAGTAATTTTTAAATATTTTTTTCTTCAAATGTGAACCTTAGTCTTTGTCATTGTTGTCATTGTTTAGACAATTTTTTTGATTATCATCATCACCAAACGATTCATCTTTTCTCTCTCTTTTTCTTGATTAGATCAAATTTTAAAACTCAAATAAAAAAATTCATGTATGATCAATGTCGACGAAAACTATTGTCATCTATAATCATTTCTATCTATAATTCATACAAGTCGTTCATCACGGACTGAGCTATGTTTTATCCTGAAAGGTTACTGCCCTTTATTTTTTATAATTAAAAAATTACATGGGTAAAAAGCAAATTATACCTTCTAATTTTAACTAATTTTGATTTTGTTTATCTCATATTTTTACGGTTAATTCTATTTTATTCATCGCTTTGATTAATTATACATTATCCCGTATGAACTGGAATCTTGGTTTTGTCATTCATCATTGGTTGATTGTTCGATAAAAGACGATAAAGACAATAATCGAAAATAGAGAACTTTAAAAATTTCGTGTCTATTTAGTTGTAAGAGTTTAAGTCACTATAACATAGGAGGAGGAGAAGGCTATTGATTCACTGCAGCGAGAGGTTGAACGGTGGTGCTGGAGTCCCATTGAATATAGTGAAGGCCTACATAATTAAAAAATTTGAGTTTTAATAATAAAAAAAACAGACGAGAAAAATGAAGAGCTAGACTTAAGGCATAAGGGAAATCTAAACGACATATGTGATGATATTTTTACAAATATTATATATATATGATATATTTTTATTCTAAACTTAACTCCAACCAACTATTTCCTTTCTCAAACCCATCTCATCCGTCAGATTTGGATTTTTTGACCAACCATAGCTGTGAAGCCTCTCATCGTTGAAACGGCGCGCTTCGATTCGACCCCACCTCCAAAAAGTGAAGAAGTGACGAGTTAACTATCATCAGTTCCTCAACCACACTTCACTCACACTTATGGCCTCTCCTCTGCTTCTCAAAGGCATCCCGCTGCTGCGGATCCGGTTGCAACGGTACAACTGTCTCTTCGCCGGAACCGTTTCGTCTCCGCGGCGACCTTTTTGTGCCGCTTCAGACACGACTGGGCATAAAGAGGAGGTATCATCTGCGGAGAAAAGCGGTTCGGTGCTAACTGTGAGAGATCCACCGAAGTACCATAGGTGGGATGATCCTGATTACAGGAAATGGAAGGATAAGGAGGAAGAGATTCTTCGAGACATCGAGCCTATCATTTCTCTAGTTAAAGAGATTCTTCACTCCAATAGGTTAGTCTCTTCAGCCTTAGCCATGTTATCAAAAGGTCTATTTTATAGGCTCCATTTACCGAAAAAAATTAAGAATTAGTTTATACATTTGAGTTCCGTACATCTATTAAATTGTAATTGATTTGAATTTCGAACAGATGTCTAATGATGCGTTTTTCAGATTCTTGAACCTTTGTTTATGATAGTTCTAGTGTTTTAGTTGAAAATGATAACGGATGTATATGGTTAAAAAAATCGTTATCGGTTATGTTATTGTTTAAATAATAAAATCGATAAAAAAATGACCGGAAACATTATTAGGTGTTAAAAAAATGACCGAAAATATTATTAGCGCTAAAAATGACCGAAAATATTATTAGTCGCTAAAAAATGACCGAAAACATTATTAGGCGTTAAAAAAATGACCGGATATATTAAAAAAATGTTTTAGATAAAAATAATAATATTTTAAGTAATTTTTTACCGATTTTATTATTTAAACAATAACAAAACCGGTAGCGTCTTATTTTAGTCTTATATTAAAGTGTTGCACTGTAGAACTCTCCGTTTTAGCTCCGTTGATACTTTAACGAGGCAAATTGTTGATCTACTTCTTTGTCAGTTACTAGTAGTTTCAAAATTCTGAGTCCTGACATTGTTCCAAGGCTAGCAGGTTGCCATTTATTCACTAGTTCATGTATTAGTCCTGAGTAGATAACGCATTAAGCTTGAAGGTTTCTATTAGGATGAAATATTGAATTTATTAGTCCTTTGCTGCTGTGAGAGGGATGAAACCCACATTTGTAGCTTTTGCATGGTCAAGCTTGTTGTGGTTGCCTTTCTGTTTACTGTAAGAACTTGATTAATATTGTGTGAATGAATCTTTTACCTCTGTCAAAATATTGCTTTTTGATATAACACGTGCTGCTCCTGGCCATAAATAAAAGAAGTTGTTTTATTAGGATTTTGGAGCTACTGGCGTCAACAAACGAGCACTTTACTGTTGCCTCATCATCTCGTACGTCCCTTCAAACCCTGCCACTAAGTTCCCATCAATATCCCACATTATCCTCCATCGTTGAGGACAGAAAAGATGGGAACAGAATGGAACTTGGTATTGATTGGATATGCAAGCATGATATCCAATTTTATATTCATGAATTTCCATTCTTAGATGCCTTTGTATATATTAAACACACAGAGAAATATGGGGTACATGGAGTTCTCCCTGTATTTTTCTTACGAGTTTGCTAGAACTTAGACTGGAGCTGCATATACTTGTAAGTCTACAATGACAAATTTAGAAACAAAGAGCTCTCTAAAAGTACTTGAATTTTAAAATTTAAATGTGTTACTGAATCTTAAGAAAGGAAAATGTTGTAATATATTCTAACCATGTCTTAATCTTAAAACCTGTGATTTTTGCACTGCTGAGAAAAACAAGCTAACATATAATTTTGAGATGCTTTTCATTTTCAGAAGTAGCAGCTAATAAGTTGAGCAAATCTGTCTTTGCGGTGCAGCACTATTTTAAATTGTAGCCAGCTTAGTGATTGTTATACTTCTATTTATTTCTTAATGTTAGGTATAAGGATGGGGAACGTTTAATTGTTTCGGATGAGGAAACTGTGCTAGAGAAACTTCTTCGTCATCATCCACATTCTGAAGATAAAATTGGGTGTGGACTTGATTCTATTATGGTGAGTTTCTGATCGCATTGCCTTTTAGCAGGTTGTTCAATGTTTTGGTTGGATTGCTATATAATGAAACACGTGTTTTGGGTAAATTTAAGTATTTCCATTGTGAGAATGCCTTGTAGGCCAAAATTTAGAATGTGCGGATTAAGTGAATTCTACTTCAACTTAAACGAGTGCAGTTGATTGTTTTGTATGTCCTACTACCATATAAAATATGTCTTAACATTATATTAGTTAGGCTGATTCTTCGTCTCAAGATTTGGAATTTGCTCATCCAGACTTTTCTTTTATGAAATTCCAGCCTCCTCTTTCCTTTATTTCTTGTGGTGTTGAAATCTATCACTCTTTCCTTTATGTGGAATTTCAATTTCCCCTATCCTTGATGACTGGTCCCATTCTTTCCTCTATTATTTTGACATAGAATCTTCTTTTAATCTGCCTGCTAGTGTTGCTTTACTTGCTGATGGAATTGTACTGTTTTATTGTTCAATAGCTGTTGTGGTTGGATGAAACTGACCTAGCAGTGCTGCTTTCCATGTGTGTATTCATTATATATTTTATGGATGTATGGCGTACATTGGTATTTGCTTTCTAGTACAAAGTACAAACTAATAATGTGCTTAATCTCCTTTGAAGGTTGATCGACATCCTCAGTTTAGTCGCTCAAGGTGTCTCTTTGTTGTTAGAACTGATGGTGGATGGATAGATTTCTCATACCAGAAGTGTCTCCGAGCGTACATTCGAGATAAATACCCATCTCATGCAGAAAGATTTATTAGAGAACATTTTAAACGCGGTAGTGGTTAAAATGTGGAAACATAATGTTAGTAGCAGTGTTAAGAGTATGATTTTGGTGTCACTGTTGATGTTTTAAATATATCCTTTGGTTAGAGAGATTGTCAATTTGTATCAGAGACCTATATATAGCCTTGATTTCTGGGTTTCAATGTTGTAAATGACTCTTGACTAATGCTTCATGTTTACAATTTCAAATGAGGACAGAAAAATATTATTGAAATGAGCCTCTCACTCTGTCGACTTGTATCTATCTTCGTTGTGGTTGGCTTTGTGCAAGTGTGTATATGTTGTAGGAAGCTTTTCTTCATATCCTTAGAGAACTTAGCTAGCTATTGGTTTTACAAAATATAAGGATTGGTCAAAGGGCTTTATTGTAGGTCTTGAATTTTTATCAAGGCAATAAAATGGTTTAATTTCTCTCCTAGAACTGCATGGTATCGTGATTCTTGAATATTGAATACAGAGACGTGGAGAACATAGTAGAAGAAAATTACTTTGATGAGAAACAGACGGCGTCTTTGGAGTTTCGGAGGTTTGAGGAGGATGGATTTGCATTGATTTTCATTGTATGATCTTGTGTGATTATTTTATCTGATGGATAACATCAGATGGTAAGGTTGTTCACTGCTCAGTACGTTTGCCATGAAATAAGATATAGGTAAAACAACCTGCAGAGATAAATGATCGACTTCAGATCCAGCTCCATGGACTTATGCGCTATTGCAATCGAAGTCATCGTTTGCAACCAACAAACGTTTCCACCTCCAAGGATTTGAAATTGGGAATTAGAACCATAAATAATGAAAAGGTGGTGCAAACCCCATCATGACTAAGGGAGCAACACGATGATTAGATTAAGACAGACGAACCTATTAGACAGCTGGATGGAGAAAATCCATATTGCATCATCATAGTACAGATGGGAGCACAATCGTATTTGGTGAACACTCAAATGCCAAGAAAGAAAGAGGATCGAACATATTTCGATCTCTCAACAGTTTGTGATCCTATCAGCCACGTCTTGCCCTTGCCCTTGCCCTTGTACATATGGTTAGGTGGTGTGGTCATAGGGCTGCAAAGCAATTGGTTTCATGAGTCCCAATAAAGCCAAGGCTTGGCTTTCTGTTGTGTGTGGTTTCAGTTAGATGGCGAAAAGCACCACCCATACTTTTTGATTCTCCAATTGATGCGCCCTTTTCAGACCGACTCTTTCACCACTCTTCCCTACAATTATCATTCTACTTTGAATCAACTCTGTTTTTTTTTTTCTTTTAGGAAATTTTCAGAGGAAATTTTGTAGCGATTCATTATTGGTGTGACCTTTCAAACCCATTTTACTATATTCATAAAAGTCAAGATCAAAACTCATGATTTTACTTAAAGAAATTTAATTTCTTGTCTCACTAAACCAAGTAATTATTGGTTAGTGTTTTTTATTAACAATAAAACAACATAATATAAATAAATTTATAAATATAATAAAAATTATATAACATAAATTAACAATACGTAAAGATTGCAGGTATGATGAGGCATTTACGACTTGCGCTCACCCATATTTCATTTTGCTCTTTTTACTTTTCTTTAATTGTTGATGAGTTTCATTTAGAGAAAATCGCCTCAGTGACCAAAAATGCCTTATAATATACGATTTTAACCAACTTTTTTTTGATTTGCCAAAATGACCAACAAAATCGCAACGCGATATCAAAACCGCAACGCGATTTAGAAAAGCGCAACGTTGAAAAGAAGATCGCAACACGATCTTCCAAGAATCGCAATGCGATTCATAAAATCGCAACGCGATCTTCCAAGAATCGCAACGCGATTCAGAAAATCGCAACACGATTCAGAAAATCGCAACGCGGTTCAGAACATCGCAACGCGATCTTCCAAGAATCGCAACGCGATTAAGAAAATCGCAACGCGATTCCAAGAATCGCAACACGATTCCAAGAATCGCAACGCGATTAAGAAAATGAGTAAATTCTTTCAAAAGTTGTTGCATTTGTTTCTTTCTTAAGAATTTTCTCTAAAAAGATAGTATCCGCGCGGACGTGTCGAAGACACGTATTACCATTACCATTACCATTACCACGACCACGACCACGACCACGACCACGACCACGACCACGACCACGACCACGACCACGACCACGACCACGACCCGACCCGAGACGAGACGGCGGCGGCGGCGGCGCGCGAGAGTCCCCCTTGTTCTCTTTCACTCAACAAGTAAATGGGAAATCCAAGCCTTAAATACACTTCCCAATAGTGTTTCCAATACTATGTGGGATTGAGCATTACTCAACACTTCAAAGAAAATATAGCAATTTTTGTAGTATTTTCCCACTTAATCCATATATAAAAATATTAAAACATTTTATCAAGAGAATTAAAAGAGTTGTAGATATCTACATTTCAATTCAAACTTATACATATAGTTTTAATATGATAAAATGTTTTAATATTTTTAAATATGGATTAAGCGGGAAACATGCTACAAAAATTGCTATATTTTCTTTAAAGTGTTGAGTAATGCTCAATCCCACATAGTATTGGAAACACTATTGGGAAGTGTATTTAAGGCTTGGATTTCCCATTTCCTTGTTGAGTGAAAGAGAACAAGGGGGACTCTCGCGCGCCGCCGCCGCCGCCGCCGTCTCGTCTCGGGTCGGGTCGTGGTCGTGGTCGTGGTCGTGGTCGTGGTCGTGGTAATACGTGTCTTCGACACGTACGCGCGGATACTATCTTTTTAGAGAAAATTCTTAAGAAAGAAACAAATGCAACAACTTTTGAAAGAATTTACTCATTTTCTGAATCGCGTTGCGATTCTTGGAAGATCGCGTTGCGAATTACTGAATCGCGTTGCGATTTTCTTAATCGCGTTGCGATTCTTGGAAGATCGCGTTGCGATTTTCTTAATCGCGTTGCGATTCTTGGAAGATCGCGTTGCGATTTTATGAATCGCATTGCGATTCTTGGAAGATCGCGTTGCGATCTTCTTTTCAACGTTGCGCTTTTCTAAATCGCGTTGCGGTTTTGATATCGCGTTGCGATTTTGTTGGTCATTTTGGCAAATCAAAAAAAAGTTGGTTAAAATCGTATATTATAAGGCATTTTTGGTCACTGAGGCGATTTTCTCTTTCATTTATAGGGGATCGATCTGCGTAAAAAAAGGAAAGTGAGAAGCAGGAGTAACCATGGTTTTTAGAACCGGATCGGTTAGTAAATCGGTTATGCTATCGGTTCGGTGGTTCAATCGGACGACATCATAATTATTTAAAAAATTAAATAAAAATACAAAAAATATTTAATAAAAAATAATTTTGTATATCACAAGTCATATTCAAAGCAAGTCATAACATATATAAATTAAAAACCATAAAATCAAGTGAAACAAAATGATTCAAATTAACTACAACATAATATTTAAGGTAAAACATATTAAATAATAAATATAATTATATAACTATAATTAAAAAATAAATTTAGGGCTAAAAAAATCATAACAAAATGATATTGTTTGGTTTAATTTTTTTTTAAAAACAATCTCACATGGCTGAAAAACATAGAAGAACATCCCAAAAGTCTAAAGAGTAAAAATACGAGAACAAAACAATCTCACATTGCTAAGAAACATAAAAGAGCATCACAACTAACTTCTATAAATAATAGAGGTAATTTGGCATTCAAAATCATGGAGACTTTTGGTGAGCATAGAGTAAACTATTTTTTCACTTCAATCAAGCTCGAATTTTAGGCTTCAATCGAGCTTCTAATTTTTTTTTTTGAGTTCAAGCCTTTTCGAGTTCAAGTTTCAATATTATATTTCGAGTTCGAGTTGAACTTGATAATTTTTAGTTCGTGAGTTTTAGTCGAGTTGAGCTCAGCAATACTCGAGTTCGACTTGGCTCGTTTAACAAACGACGTCGTTTGGTTTAATTTTTTTTTTAAAAAAAAAACAAAATATCCGATTTTTCTCGGTTTTTTCCGATTTTCAGCCGATCCGATTCGAACGGTTCAACGGTTCCGACCGGTTCATTAGTAGCGGTTCAACCGATGTAGTTTGAACCGGACTAAACAACGATTCTCAATTGAACCGATTGAACAGACTGATCCGATCCGATTTTCAAAACACTGGGAGTAACAGCAAAGCAAAAGAAGGAAAGCAACTTATGAGTTAGAATCCACACTGCCATACAATTCCGAGTTCTCATCTTCATTCACCGCACCTCCTCCCCATTTTCCATGCCTCAAAGGCAACTCTTTTTTTATTATTATATTTTGACATATAAATTTAATATTTATGTTAATATAAGGGTTAGAATCTACCTACGCTTACGATAAAATTTTTAGTTTTATATTTTTTTAGATCGTTGAATGAGATGAAATTAAATATTGAAATTAATTATTTGTTTTTTTAATAAATATTTTATTATTTCTTACTGTTAATCTTAATATTTGATTTCCCTTCATCCGATGATCTTAAAAATGAGAATAAATTTCTAGTTTTATACATTTTTATGCTCGTTCGATAAGGGAAAATCAAAGATTGAAAATATCTCTTTGTTTTTTCCCAATGAATATCTTATTTTTTTCTAATGTTAATCTCAACTTTTGATTTCCCTTCATCCTATAATTATAAAAAAGTAAACAAAAATTAATTTTATACTATGTAATTGGATCCTAAACCATAATGTAATAATCAACTTTTTTTTATGTAATTCGGTGTTTAGGCTTTTTTGCATAATTATATATCTAATATTTTTATCACATGTTTTAATCCTAATTAATTCTTATTTATAATTTTAATAATGTTTAATTAAAAACAATATGTATTATATGTTTAAAAGTTTCTTTAAAGGAAATATTTAAAAAGTTAAACATTGCAATTTTAAATATAATTAAAAAATAATTCTATAATATATTATTAATGTTTTTATGTTCTAATTTTCCTTTTCTTTCTTATGTCGTCGTAAGTCTTTTTTTTTCCATCTTTGTGATCAACGGCGACATAAATTTTGGTGTTAGTCATTCACCGTCGGTATTAATTGTATTTTTCTTTATTTTATTATGTCATATATTTGTTTTTTTAATAATTATATTTCTATGACACGTTTTCTTCTATCTTTGTAATACATTTTTTTCGTCTTTTGATATGTTTTTAGTCTTTTGACCACTAATTTTACTTATCTTTTTCTCAAGGTTAGATTTGACATTTTTATTACTAATTAAG